AATAGTCACATCTCTGGAGGGGCAGCAACTGGCAATAAGCTTGTAACAAGTCCTCCAGATGGCATTCCAGACATGGATTTAAGAAAGAGCCAGCCCAGTGGCATTAGTGCGGTGGGTCAGGAACTGTGGGTGTCAGGAACTCCCTCGTGACTGCCCTGTAGGACAGCTCCGCCAGACGAGTCCTCTCCCCTGTGCATGTGTGGGGACTGACTCCCAGTGCTTCCAAACTTACAGCCTTTTCCTCTTCGGTTTGCATTGTGCTTTTACTTTTGAAGTTGGAAGTGAGCTCAGTAGAGAGTGCTAACTAATTTCTCTTTAATCGATAGCAAGCTACATCTGAACATTGGAAGCAACAGCTGAGCAATGTATAGAGCACAGTAGCGTGTGCCTCAGTTCTCAAGGGTGGCCGCTGAGTTTTGTGACAGTGCCGATGTAGAAGGAAGATTATTTTTCCCCATATTTTATTCTTTTTTTAGTATATTTTAAAAAAAATTTGAAACAAGCTTGTTTTACATATCAATCTGAGTTCTGAACCCTCCTGTCCTCCCCTGTCCCCCCTCCACCAACCCCCATCCCATCCCCTTTCTGCTCCCCAGCGAGGGTGAGGCCTGGAAGGAAGAGTGTTTTTATACCTGCAGATATCCTAATAAACATTGGTGCTGAGAGATAGCTGTGCACATGTGGACACGGGTATCCTAAGAGATAGAAGCACATGTGTGGTCATGGGTATCCTAAGAGATAGAAGCACACATGTGGTCATGGGTATCCTAAGAGATAACTGTGCACATGTGGACACGGGTATCCTAAGAGATAGAAGCACATGTGTGGTCATGGGTATCCTAAGAGATAGAAGCACATGTGTGGACATGGGTATCCTAAGAGATAGAAGCACATGTGGACACGGGTATCCTAAGAGATAGAAGCACACATGTGTGGTCATGGGTATCCTAAGAGATAGAAGCACATGTGTGGTCATGGGTATCCTAAGAGATAGAAGCACATGTGGACATGGGTATCCTAAGAGATAGAAGCACACATGTGGTCATGGGTATCCTAAGAGATAGAAGCACACACATGGACACGTGTGTCCACTTGTTTGTAAGTGTGTGGAGGATGGGGCCAGTAATCATGAAGACAAGCTATAGTGGGAAGCCGGCCAACTGAAGATGGACTGTAGTTGTGTTGTCTGAGAAAGATCCCCATGGCACTCTGATGAATGAAAACTGCACGTGTGGGCCTGGCAGACGTGCCACAGGGTGACTAACCGTATTGTCAGCTGTCAGTGACTGGTGTGGTTTTAGGCAATCTTGACTGTTTCTTCTTTATGCTGTGTGCGCGTGCGCGTGCGCATTCGAATGAATACATGTGGAGACCAGGGGTCAGATGCCTTCACCGGTCACTCTCCACTTTTACTTTATTATTTATTTAGTTGCATTTTTATTTACTTGTTTGTTTGTTTACTTTTGAGGTCGTGTTTCTCTATGTAGTCCTGGTTATTCTGGAACTTGCTATGTAGATCAAGTTGTTCTCGAGCTCAACAGATCCACCTGCCTCTGCTGGGATTAAAGGCACGTGCCACTATGCTCAGCTCACTTTTATGTCTTGAGATGGTGTCAGTATAATCCCAGCAGAGGCAGGTGGGTTACCTACCGTGTACCAGGCATACTGGTAAAGCTTGCCAGCTGTCCTGTGTGCTCTGTAGGGTGGATGAATTGTTAGGTGGTGCTTTTCAAACTTGGAGACGGGACATCTGGCAGGGGGAGGTTGAGCCTGGTGTCCCCTGTCCCCAATGAGCCTGGGTTTAGGGAGCCTGTGTGTTTTTTCAGGACCTGTCATTATCAGGGCACCAAAGAGAGCCAGGCGACTTTGGAGGTCATCTGGTGTTGGCTGGGAGGTGTTGTGACTTGCCCAAGGTCTTAAACTAGCTGGGCAGAGGTGAGGGAGCCCGAAAGCAGCAGGTCTGCGTATAAGGTGGTGGAGTTGCACTGGAAACAGCCTTGACATAGTCGGAAGGCTGGGGTTTGTTTGTGAACGTCGTGGCCGTGGATAATCTCTGTACGGTTTTGCGCTGCTTTGCTTCTCCTCAAGTGCCTCAGGGACGAGAGTCAAGTATGCCAGTTCATCAGTCTGGTCCTGTGAAGCCTGTTTATTTGGCTTGGATTTCCTCCTAGCCCAGGATCATGGAGCTGTTCGCTGAAGCTGGTGTGCCCAGCCTGGTGTGTCCCAGGAGGCTTTCTCCGTTTATTCCCTCTGGATAGTGGAGTGACCCGAGGGTGGTTTATCCAGAAACACCACTGTTCCCACTGCTTGCCTTGTCTGCTTGGGTCTGTGTCCTTTCCTGGCTGCTGGCGGATTTCTGTTTGTTAGCACTCTGCTTGTGAGCTAATGGCACCTGCCTTTGTTCCCGCTGTTCTGTAGTCAGTCCTGGTGTCCAGTAGGAGGGAGTTCGGCCACCTTGTACTGAATGTCTTGCCATTTGTATTTCTACATATATTCACCAGCCTATAAAGTCTTTCCTGAGGGGGAAACCAGGTGTGGAACCGTGTCCCCGTAGCCCTGATACTTTTCTCGTTGGCATATCCATATTGTCAGTGTCACTCTTGTGCTTCGGGAATGTTTTTAAGTAGCTCAGGCCTTCCTTAGCACCCTTGTGTCTCCCAGCAGACCAGCCAGTGGCTCATGGAGGGCATCCTATACTGCTTGGACGCTGGATACCAAAGGGATGCTTCTCATTCTGGGTGTGAGATTTCATTGTGCTGCTCACAATTTCGGTTGTATAAATTGTTTATTTCAAGAATTTGTCATGTGTCACAGAGAGCACCATTGTGTCTGAGGAGGGTAGAAGACAAGTGTGACTGACTTTAGGGCTGCATTCTACAGATAAGACTGTTGAGCGTCCTCGTGTAGAATGATGCCACGGATGAGGGCACACACAGCTCCTGACCCTGCTTCACCTCCCTTGGCCTTTCTGTCCAGAAGTAGAATAGCTGGGTCATATAGTTAAATTATATTTAATTTTCTGAAGACCGTTCCCACACTGACCCCATTTTACACTCCTACCAGCAGTGCAGTTATTTCTTTGTACTGTCCCGTCTCCCCTTTCCCTCCTCCCCCCTTTCTCCCATTTTCCTTTATAGTAGCCGCCCAGTGAATGTCAGCTGTTTATTGCCCACTCAGCTCTGTCTGAGCCTGTGTTCCCTCCTCTGCTCTGCTCCTGCTCCGTAGAGTTCCCCACAGCCTCTTTGTGCTGTATTTTGGAGCCTTCCCTGACTTCCCTCCCTCCTGTTTAAATTTTTCTTGTTCTGTTGTAGTGCACTTTAGACAGAGCCCTCTCATTGGCTCTTAATTTGGTCTGTTCACTATTGGGTTCTTTCAAAAAACCGTCTTTGGAATGCCATTTTCCTCTTCCCAGGCAACTCATGAGGTTACAACTGTCTGGGTACCCTTTCCCAGGAGTTGATGGCCCTCTGAGAATGGTAACCAGTTGCTACGAGGTTATCTTTAAAATTTTGTCTTCTTACTTGGTGGTCAAACCAGATCTCTTTTTAGTTTTTCCTAAAGTCCCCCACTACCTCTGGGAATTCTATCCAAGATGCCCATTATATTTATTTCCCCTCCTTTGCTCCCACATACCTGTGGCATGCTCTCAGACATCCTTGGTTTTGGTCTTGACGGTGGCGCTCTGGACAGGTGTTTGCCTTTCCCTTATGTGCTTGTGGTCACTCATGCTTACATTACAGGCTTTGGAGAGACTGTCACAGAGGTGACATGTATCTCACGTTATGTTTTCATCACCAGCATGACTTAGACTGTTCCTATTGACCTTGGCCACCCGGATGAGGTGGCTTATCAGGTTTCTGTACTGTAAAATTCCCCAACAGGTGTTCTTTGGAATGCTGTGTGTGGTTCAATAAATAAAACCAGTATTTTGAACTAAAAAAAAGAAAGTGCTCATAATTAAACTCATTTTAAAAGTTTGCTGGTAGGGCAACGTCTTTAATTCAAAATAGAGCTGTGAGTTGAGGAAGGAAAAAAAAGCCATTTCTTCACACACTTGCAAGTATTTCTTACTGGATGTGAACTAAAATACAGATAAGGTTTACACTCACAAAACCAAGTGTGTTACCAATGGATTCCCTCCCCTTTTAAGAGCGGTTTTCTAGGCAGGAAATAAAAACACAGGTTCGGGCGACAGAGTGCCCTCTAGCAGCTGATAACAGGAATGCTTAGGGAGCAACATAGTGCAACCGGGCCACTGCTGCCCCCTAGGAGCCAAAGGGAGAGTGGCAGAAAAATAGACTTAGACATCATACTTATTTTTCAACATTAATGCGAGGGAAAGAGGTTTTGTGGTTTCCAAAAATTGCACCAAGGTAAAGCAGAGCTCTAGCCGATGCGGGTGTGTTGTCAGGCGTTAGCAGTACTGCCCTCACTACGCGTTCATTGGACAGTAACGCAACCCCAAGAAAAGGATGGTTGCTGGACAGCATGCGCGCCCGACAGCCAGGAAGCTGCAGGCCCGGGTTGGCTTGCGGTGACCATCGCGGGGAGTTCTTCCTCAGCCCACGGGGTGGCCAGTGTTTTCTACAAGTACATCTTCCAGGGCCGAATACCCTGTCGGCTTTCCTGAAACTCCCGAGGGGCTTTCAGCCGCCTGCTCGGCTTTACCCAGAAGGCCGCGCGCCACACGTCTGGAAATTTGCATACGCGCCTCTCTGGGCGGGGCCGGAGGGTTTTCCGCAGAGAGCTGGTTATTTGCATACGCAGGGGCGGGGCGGGGCCGTGATGGGCTCCTGCGGGTTGAGCTGCTTCTGTTTCAATGGAGTTTCGCCTCCGTGACTTTTTCTTCCAAACCATAACCAGCTTTTCCGCGCCGAGCATCCTTTCTTGGCCAGCCCAGCTCTTCGTCTCAGTCATTAGGTGTCCCGGGCTGTGGGACCGCGGGGACCCGATATGCAGGCACTACCTCACTGCATCGCTGTGCCTGTTTCCCGTTGCAGGTGGTTCTCCTGGGCATGGACATCCTGTCGGCACTGGTGACAAGGCTGCAGGACCGGTTCAAGGCACAAATCGGCACAGGTAAGCTGTGAGCAGCAGACTCTCAGCCTCTCCTGCCACTTCGGGCTCAGCCCACATCACGGTTTCACCGCCTCTAAATTGGCACCTTTCCTTCTAATCCCGAAATAGTCCTTCCTGCCGGTGACCTCGAATGTGAAAGATTACCAGTCGAGGACTTTATGCAAGAGCGGCCATCAGACTTGGTGCATGCCAGTGCATATTGCCCCAGCCCCTCCTGAAAGCCAGTTTTCTATTTTACAGTCCTACAAAGAAAAGGAGCTAGTTGGATTTCCCCACAGTTTAAACGTCACAACATCAAGGTGTTTCATGGTGGCAATGTAAACACGAAGGAGTTCTGTTTATACAACTGTTTCGGCAGAAAATCTCTCCATCCCCTTTTTCTTTCTTCTTTCTGATTTGTGTGGGCAGTGGATATAACCCGTGGCCTCTGGGTGTCAGTCAAGCACTCCGACCACTAAGCCACGGTGCTAGCTGCTATTTCCCAGGTGCGGTCATCATTAGTGTTTGTCCGTTTCCTTTTCTGCAGCTCTGGTCAGTGTGCTCACTGAGAAGGATGGTGGGCCATTTAAGAACGTCATGCTAGGAATTTGGTGTTTGGACCATTTTCCATTTCCCTCCTACATTAGCTCAAGACTCATGGAGTCTCACAAGAAGTCTAACAGGCTTGGGATAGGAATGGGTGGGCTGGCCCACGCTTCAGTGTGTAGATGTGGTGTGTGTCTTATGTGCGCTATAAGTAAAATGTACCCAGTGCCAGTGAAGCATGTTGATCCCCTTTGTCCCCAGACAAGGCCTGTTTAATGTTTTTATTAGCACATGGCAATTATACAGCATTACATCTTATATATTGCATGCATACATAAAAATGTATGTATTAAATGTACATATACCTACTCCTGCAGTTACCTTCTGTTCCCCTCCCCTCCTGCTGTCCTCCCTTTCCCACCTAGTCCTCCTGCTTTCAGGTCCCTTTTCCTCCCGTGACCAGCGAGTTTCATTAGTGTTGTTTGCAGAATCTTAGGTGAAGGGTTGTTTATCCACAGTGTAACTACCAATGAAAATGTCTCTCCCATCAACAATTAACTGCATCTAAATCCTCAGGGGAGGGGAGGTCCTTGGGAGTGCTCCTACTGTCCCGCCCACCCTTCCTCCCTCCCTCCCTCCCTCCCTCCGACACTGGGTGCCTTATATCCTTGGCTGGCCTTGAACCATCCATGCAGCAAAGGAAGACCTTATGACTTGATCCTGGTCTTTCCTCCTGATCCTCCTAAGAGTGCTGAGATTTTAGGCATACGGCATTGCCAGCTCTTTCCTTCAGGGTCACCCTTGCCTGCCAAGCCTTGTATTTTAATATTTCACCGGGTTCCAGATATGTTGGGTGTAGCTAGAGTCAAATGAGTGTAGAGACAGTCTGCCCAAGTACAAGGTTCTGCCGGTGGTTATGGAAATGTACTTTGGCAAGGAGAGCGGAGCTCTGCCAAGGATGGGTGGCTTTGGAATAACTTGCCCATGGAATAATAGGCTTTTGGAATTCCTTACTTAGGCCAGCTTACTGCAGAGGAATAGTGGGTGACCAAGATCTTTTTCATTTAATCATTTCCATTTTGGTTTCCAGTGTTGCCAAGTCTAATAGACAGACTGGGAGACGCTAAGGACTCCGTGAGGGAGCAAGACCAAACCCTGCTGCTAAAGATCATGGATCAAGCTGCTAACCCCCAGGTAGGAAAGAGAATTACTCCTGTATGCACAGTGTTCATCCAGTTCATCACTGAAGGAAGTCAGGATGGGAGCTCAAACAGGGCAGGACCCTGGAGGCAGGAGCTGATGCAGAGGCCATGGAAGGGTGCTGCTTCCCATGGCTTACTCAGACTGCTTTCTTATAGAATGCAGGACCACCAGCCTAGGGATGGCCCCACCCACAATGGGCTGGGCCCTTCCCCATTGGTCATTCATTGAGAATATGCCTTACAGCTGGATCTCAAGGAGGCATTTCCCTAACTGATGCTCCTTCCTCTGATGACTCTAGCTTGTATCAAGTTAACATAAAACTAGCCAGTCTAGCAATGACCATTCTTATAGCCCACAGTTCCTCCTCGTATGAGAAGTTTAAATATATAACTACCCTTAGCTTACTTATGGCCCTGGCTCTCCCTTTCTCTGGAAAGGGGTAGCTGGTGGCATCTGAGAAGCCAGGAGGTCTGGCTGGGGCCCTGGTGCTTATATGGCCGTTAGTGGGACTTGCTTGAATGGATGGACTCAGCCCTGTCTCCAGGGCCCCACTGACCATTGTTTGGGGATGCAGCTGGGGCAGCCAACAGCAGTTTCCCAGGGGACATAAAACAATACTGGGGTGAGCCTCGGTGAGGAGGGCTGTTCCAGACAGAAAGCAGGGTGCATGCCTGCTGTCATTTGGGCCGTCCTGTTCTCAGTCATAAAATGGGGGTAATTATACCTCCTCAGGGGTGTGGGGAGAGTCAGTAGTGTTACATAAGTACACCCAGTTTTCACACTGTAACTGCATGTGTTTAGTAAAGTAATTCCCTGTCCTACTTCTGTGTGTTTGTGAGAGGACCCCAGGGTGGGTGGGAATGGGGCCAGTTTGGTTCCTGTGAAGAGGCTCGTACCTGTTGCCTCTCTCCTTACTGTGAGGGGCTGCAAAATCCTTATTCTCTCACCTGTTTCTTGCCACCTGCAGTATGTATGGGACAGAATGCTCGGAGGCTTCAAACACAAGAACTTCCGCACGAGAGAGGGCATCTGCCTCTGCCTTATTGCAACACTCAATGCGTAAGTCTGGGGTGAACCCGCAAAATGTGCTTGGCTAAAGCTCTTCCCCCTGCCCACAGCTTTGGAGCCTGTCCTGAAACCCACTCTGTAGACCACACCGGCCTCAAACTCAGAGATCCGCCTGCCTCTGCCTCCCAAGTGCTGGGATTAAAGGTGTTTTTCACCACTGCCCAACTTTTTTTATTCTTTTTAAAGAGAGAGTCTCATATGGCCCTCTGGTCTTGAACTTACTTTGTAATTGAGTGTGTCTTGAACTTCTGATCCTTCTGCCTCCACTCTTCAAGAGCTGGGATTACTGGCACAGGCCAACATGTGTCCTATTTCTTTGGCTCTGGGGATGCTAGGCAACCACTCTATCCGAATTAAATCTCCAGCCCCTTGGCTAAAAACTTTAAAACAAAACGGAAAATACCACCAACAACCTTTTGTTCATTAGCAATTAGATCTACAGGTAGTTATAAGGAAATGTACTGGGAAGCAGCTTCTTCCCTTCACCAGACTGGTACAGGATTTTACACAGGATCGTGTAGCCTTCAGTACGGGTGCTGCTCACAGAGCTCGCCCACTGCCCTTTTGCCACACACTTTGTAGCCTGTGGCAGCCACTGTTACTCTGTCTCTATGATCTGGTCACATCAAACTGCTATTCACATGGAATGAAGCCTTGAGAACCCCCTCAGGGTTGCCTTCTTGATTTCCACTTAGTGAGGTTCTACTCCTGAGTGATTACTGCTGAGTAGACTCCTTTGGTATAGTATCTATACCATAGGATAGAGTATATCGTTTAGAATATATATTGTAGATGTAGTCGAGTTTATTTAGCCATTCATCCATTGAAGAAAATGTGGGTGACTTCAAGTTTGGGCATCCCAGGAGTAAAAGTGCTATGGATATACAAGTTTCTCCACAAGTGTACATTTTTAGTTCTCTGAGTAAGAGTACAATGGAAGGGTCATTTTCTAAGCCCATTTTTTGTTTGCTCATTTATTTATTATTGTGTTTGGGAGTGTTGCCTGCATGCATGTCTGTGCACTGTGTGAGTGATGGTGCCCTTGGAGGGTATTAGATCCCCAGGAACTGCAGTACAGATGTTTGTGAGTTGCCATGTGGGTGCTGGGTAGTAAACCCGGTGCTCTTAACCACTGTGCTATCCCTCCACTCTCCACCCCATTTTTAGTTTTTGAGAGAAACTGCTGAAGTAATTTCCAGAGTTGTCTGCGCTGTTTCAGAGAGCATATTCACAGATGATGTCTGTGCCATGAGCACTGCAGTGGTGATAGGGCTGGAGCGATGGTTAAATGACTAAGAGTGCTCGCTTCTCTTCCAGAGGACCCGAGCTTGGTTCCCCGAACCCACAACTGCCTATAGATGTCATTCCAGGGGGACAGACATCCTCTTCTGGCATTGCATACAGACAGACAGACAGACAGACAGACATGCACGTACACAAGTAAAAATAAACCTCCAAAAGCTGGGCGTTGGTGGTGCATGCCTTTAGTCCCAGCACTCGGGAGGCAGAGGCAGAGGCAGGGGGATCTGTGTGAGTTCGAGGCCAGCCTGGTCTACAGAGCTAGTTCCAGGACAGGCTCCAAAGCTACACAGAGAAACCCTGTTTTGAAAAACCAACCAGCCAGCCAGCCAGCCAGCCAACCAACCAACCAACCAACAAATAAACAAAACCACCACTACCACCACCACCATCACCAAAACAAAAAAACACAACAACAAAAAATAAAAATAAACCTCCAAGAAAAGTGATAAACTTGAGTTCCCCAGCAGAGCAGTGTGTGGTCAGATGCCTTGCAGCCACCTTGTCACCAGCAACATTAACAGAGGGTCTGAAAGCCTCTCCAGAGGTGATCCTGAAGAGTTTGGCTGGGCCCACTGAGTTTGGCGGAACAGGAAATAAGATCTGACATAGTGGAGCGAGGGCCCGAGGCAGGCACGATCGCAAGGCGCAGGCCCTGGTGTGGTCGTCAAGGCCACGGAAGAGCCCAAGCTCTGCAGACAGGCTCTGGGGTGCTTTGGAGCCACGTTGAGTAGAATGGAGGGAACCTTGGTGTGAGGTTAATCCTAGGGCTGGAGAAGGGCAGATGTGGGCCTTGGCATCTTTCTGCCCTTTGTTCTTACGCATGCCTTTCGTTTGCAGCTCTGGGGCACAGACTCTAACACTAAGCAAGATTGTGCCACATATATGTAACTTACTGGGAGATCCCAACAGCCAGGTGAGTGCAAAGGCCTGCAGCCCATGACGGTGCATTCTGGTGTGCCGTGTGCCAACGGCGGGCGGACTCAACGACCGGGGAGCTCCGACTCTGATTGAAGAGATTAGCTATGCACTGGCGTTTATAAAATATCACAGGCTGGTCCTTGTGTCTGGCCAGATGATGAACTTGCAGTCGCGGGAGGGGGGAGTGTCTCCTGACATTGAGGGTCTTACTTGGGTGCTCGGACTTCTGGACCTAAGAAACCTGACTTTCCTGAGCACTAACATGGCTCCTCTCTCCCTCCCCACCTTCTCTTTCTCCTTGTGGGTGCGTGCATGCATGTGTACGCATGTGCACATAAGCTTGTGCAGGTCAAAGGACAATTTAGATATGTAGGCTCTGCTAGACGGTCACTGAGCCCCAGGATCCGTCAGTCTCTGCTGTCCTGGTGCTGGGATCATACGTGTGTGCCCATCTAGTTTTTTTTTTTTTTTTTTTTTTTTTTTTTTTAAACATAGGTTCTAAGGGTCACAGGGGTCCTCGTGTCTACAGGGCCAACACTTTACCGAGCAACTCTGCTCCTACCTTTCTACTATGACCTTTGCTTTTGGACAGTATTGACCACATCCTGCCTTCTTCTGTTAAAGTAACACTTGTGTGGTGTTGCTTCATTTTAGCATTGTAAATTCCTTGAGTGCGGGGCCCTGCTGGCCATTGCTCGGTTTTGTTTCCTGTTTCAATCTCCTTACACACGGAGCTGATACTTTAGGCGATCTTCTTATACAATGTCTTAGTTATACTAGAGACGCCATGACCAAGGCAACTTATAAAAGAGAAAGTTTCCATAGCGATGACGGGTTCCAAAGGCTGGAGTCTGCTACCATCATGGCAAGGAGCATGGCAGTCGGGGTGCTGGAGCTGAGAGCTCAAATCCCGACCCACAAGCTCACTGGGACTGGAGTGGGCGCTTGAAACGGTCAGCTTGCCCACAGTGACAAGTCTCCTCCAATAGGCCATACCTCTTAATTCTTCCCAAACAATCCGACTAACTGGGGCCACTGTCCTATTCAAACCACTACCCATCTGATGCTTTACCTTGTAGCGTAGTTCTTTTTCAGTTTTTTGAAAAGTCTTGTTTCCTGATTACATGATGAAGAATGGGGGGACTTGGGATCTGTACAGAAAGCCGGGGGCGTTTTCTGCAATTTGGATTTCCTGTGATTAGGGGTTGTTTTATGGGAGTGAAGACATGCAAATGTGCCCTTGCTGTACTGCTAGGCCGGTGATAAATTGGGGTGGCCTGTAGACTGCTAGAGTATCTGGGAGAGTTGGGGCGTGACCTGAAGTATCTGTAAGATCTCTCTTTTATGTCTAGGTTAGAGATGCAGCAATAAACAGCCTGGTGGAGATTTACAGACATGTAGGCGAACGCGTGAGGGCCGACCTCAGTAAGAAAGGGCTGCCACAGTCCCGGTGAGTGCTCGCTTTCTCCTTTTTCCACTTAAAATGTTACGTTTTTATTTGTGTCTCTGTGTATGGGGGTCCTTGTGCCATGTTGTGTGTGGAGGTCAGGGGACAACTTGCAAGAATTCGTTCTCTCCACGTGAACACTGGGGATTGAATTCAAGCTGTCAGACTCAACAGCAAGTGCCTTTTCCTGATGGCCCTTAAAAATATTTTTGAGACATTTATTTATTCTGCATATGTGTGTGGATGGGTACTCTTCCCACACCCTCCCCCCCCCCCTCCTTTTCAGGTTTCATCTTGGTTCATGCTCCCGTTTTTGATTGGTAATTTTATTCAAAGAACGCATGGTTATGAGATTGGTGGCTAGAAATCCCCTCCAGTTCGCACCAGAGATAGGGGAAGCCTTTTATCTTATCCCTTCAAAAATCAGACTTGGGGCTGGGGAGACGGCTCAGCAAAGTGCTTGCCGTGAAAGCTTGAGTGCCGAAGTTTGAGCCTCAAAAGTTACTTTAAAAATGCTGGATGTGGTGGCGTGTGCTTGTAGTCTCAGCACCAGGGAGGCAGAGACAAGATCCCTAGGGCTCCCTCATCAGGCAGCCTAGCTGAATTGAAGAGCTCTAGGCCAACGAGAGACTGTCTCAAAGGAAAGCAGTTGGCACTCAGGGTTGATCTCACAGCTCCCCCATCCCCCAACTCTCCCTCATCTACCTCAGATGACTCATGCGGACATCTGGGCCCATTCCATACCTGTCTTAAGTTACTTGCCTATTGTTGTGACAAAATACCATGACCAAGGCAACTTATAACAGAAAGCATTTTATTGGGGCTCATGGTTCCAGGGGGTTAGAGCTCATGATCAGCAGGTAGGTAGGCACGGTGCTGGAGTAGCAATTGAGAGTTTACATCTGGTCTGCAAACCAGCAGGCAGGTGGGTGGGCGCAAGCGCGCGCGCACGTGTGCACACACACTCACACACACACTCTCTCTCTCTCACACACGGAATGGAGTGAGTTTTTGGAAAGGTCCAAGCCCACCCCCAGTGACACACATCCTCCAAGGCCACACTTTCTAACCCTTCCCCCAGACGACTGGGGAGCACACATTCAAATATGAACTTCTAGATGCCATTCTCATTCAAAGCATCACATTCCATCCTCTGGCCTCTATAGTGTTGCCATATCATAGTGCAAAATGCATTTAGTCCAACTTCAAACATCCACATGGTCTTTCCCAGGCTCAGTGTAGTTTAAAAGTATGAAGTCTTGCCCTGCTCCAAATGACAGGACAGACTTTGAAGATTCCCCCCATGGAAGGCCTACCCTCCCTGGGGAGAGGGGACTGGGACTGACATGTAAAACTAGCTTGATTTTAATTTAAATTAAAAAAAAAAGTATGAAGTCTTTTCTAGGACTCAAGACAGTTTCTCAGTTGTAAACCCTTACAAAACCGAAAAGCTCCTTATATGCTTCTGTTGCATAATGGCCCAGAATACATATTACCATTCCAAAAGGGAGGGAAGGAGGCATAGCGAGGTAATGCTGGGCCAAAGCAAGACAGAAACCCCGGAGAGCAAACCCTAAGTTCGGTAGGGTTACTTCTAATGTCTTTCTCCTTCCAGCTTGTCTGACTGTGAGACACCTCTCTCTTGGGCGGGGTTCCACTCGTTAGCAGCTCTCCTTGGCAGATACTGAATGGTCCCGGTGTCTCCAACACCTTGAGGTCTCCCACACAATCCGCGCTTCACTCCCACAGAGTCATACAGTTGCCTTTCTGGGCCTCCATGTAGGGGCTGTGCTGGCACAGGCCGGGCCTCAGTGGCTTTCCTTGGCCATGGAGGAAGACCCCTCACCTTCATTACTCCTGTGCCCTTCGTTCATGACTGACACCAGATCCGTGCGGCCAAAGCGGTGAGGTTCTGCTGCCTTCTTGGAATGGAACCTGTTCCCCTTGAATTATATTTGCACAACGTTTTGATTTGTTGTTGCTCTTTAGGGACAGATAGTTCTGTAGGTTCTTTCCCCCAACGGGCTTCAGGATGGCAGTCATCCTTACCCCGAGGACATCATTCCTTTATCCCATTTCTCCACCAACTCAGGCTTTAACATTACATTTCCTGCTGCTCTTTTTCTCTTCTCTCTGTGTTTTGCATTTTTCTTTTTCTTTTTTGCCCATTTGTCTTTTTCATTGTAGATTTGCGGAAGATCTCTCCAACAGGGTCAAAGTTAGGCTGCCTTGAAATCTTCTCTGCCAACAAAATTAATGCACAACTCTTCAGTTAAGCCTCAGACAGATTTTTAGGACAGGGCCAAAAAGCACATTCTTTGCCAAAATATCAGAAGAATTGTGGCTAGTGATAGTATTATACGGAATGTCTTGAACCAGGCCTCCAGAGTCCACATTACCGTCAGTACTACTGTCTTCCAAGCTTAGTAGAGTGACCCACTAAGCTCTGCTTACAGCTGTCAACAACTTTGTTAGTTCAAAGACCCAGTCTTACACACAGTTCCCACAAAACAAAAAAACAAACCCCCCCCCCCGAAAATAACCCCGCCCCAAAACCCAGCCTGGGGGAGCATGGCAGCAGGGCAGGAGGCTGCAGCAGTGGAGTAGTGGCTGAGCTCACAAGCACAGAGGCTGGACTGGGGATGGCTTGTGAAATCCTAAGTCTGTCCCCAGTGACACACCTCCTCCAAGGCCATCCCCGTTAGGGGATGTCACCTGCGGCCATTGCAAAGCACAGCTGTTTTACATTACAATTCCTAGTTCCTACAGTTATGAAGCAGCAATGAAACTAACAGTATGGTTGGGTTCACCACCACATGAGGCACTATATTAAAGGGTTGGAGCATTAGGAAGGGTAGGAACCACTGTTCTGATCCTTTCCAAACACTTCCACTAACCGGGGATCAAGTATTCCAATTTGAGCCTATAGGGGCAATTCTTATTCAAGCCACTACAGCGTTCCACACGTCTCCATGTGTTCGTGTTGGGACACTTAGCACTCAGCATTTTTGAGGTTCGTTATCTTGTATACACCCAGCACCTAATGCAGCAGGCGCTTAGACGTTTGGATTAGTGAAGGAAGCCGTTCTAATACATGCCTGCCTATCAGAAAGCCCCTGGGGACCACATCCTCAGAAGGTTGGTGTTCTGTTCCACTGTGCAAGAAAACCAGCACCTTACTAGGCCCAAGAAAATGAGCTAGAAATGGCTCACTAGAGATAGGATTTAAAAATACAGTGTAACAATTGGCTCTCTATTCTCACAATCCTAGATGGCCACAACTCCCCAAGCCTGTCCCTGGGTCCCTAGAAACGGACGGGGCCCAGAGACTCAAGCTGACTTTGGAGAGATCACTCAGTAGTGAGAGTCAGAGCCAAGGCTCATTTCTTTGGACTCAGCTTCATTTTCTCTGCTCTGTTCCATGGGAGAGTTTCCAGAGTCCTGGGCACAGGGCGTGTGGCACTGTATACTGACAGAGATTAGGAGTCGTTTGCCTTGGTGTGAGTCAGGCCTGTGGTGAACAGGTGTGGGTGGAGCCTGACTTCAGGACCCGGGGATGTACATGCCTCAATCATGTGAAAGTGCGTTCATTTTGAAGTTACATTTATTTTGTATGTCTCTGATGGTGGGTGTATGCCATGCCACACATGTAGCGGTCCGAGGACAACTTTTGACTCTGTCCTCCTGCTTTATGTGGGTCCCGGGGAACCAAGCTGAGGCTGTGGCTGATGCCTTTATACGGTGAGTGTGGTTTGCATGTGTGTATGTATGGGTTCATATGTGTGTGAGTACGGTGCACATATATATCATATCTTAATCACTCTTGCTGTTGCTGTGATGAAACATCATAAGCAAAGCACCTAGAGGGAAGCTTACACTTACTGTTCATCACTGAAGGAAGTCAGGACAGGAACTCAAGCAGGGCAGGAATCTGGAGGCAGGAGCCGATGCAGAGACCATGGAGGAGGGCTGTTGACTAGTTTGCTCTTCATGGCTTGCTCAGTCTGCTTTCTTATAGAACCTTAGACCACCAGCCCAGGGGTAGAGCCTACCACCAGGGGCTGGGCCCTCCCCTATTAGTTCTAAGAAAGTACCCTGCAGCTGGATCTTATGGAGGCATTTCCTCAGTTGAGTCTCTCTCCTTTCAGATGACTCTAGCTTGGGTCAAGTTGACATAAAAACGAGTCAGCGTCCATGTGGAGGTCCAAGGTTGATGTCAGGAATCATCCTTAGTCACTTTTCTGCCTTATTTATTAAGTAAGGTCTCTCACTCAAACTCAGAGCTTGCTCTAGGGATCCCTTGTCTCTGCTTTCTGAGAGCAGCGTTACTGGAGGGGAGGGCCATCTCACTACCCAGCATGCACCCGAGTTCTGGGGATCTGAACTCTGACCCTCATGCTCAAGGGATAGACATTTTAGCCACCAAGTCATCTCCTCAGTCCTAGTACAACTTTTTGTTTTGTTTCGGTGTTTGGTTTTTTGAGACAGGGTTTCTCTGTGTAACTCTGTAGACCAGTCTGGTCTGGACCTCACTCAGAGATCTAGAGAGCTGCCTGCCTCTGCCTTCCAAGTGCTGGAATTAAGGGCGCGTGCCACCTCGCCTGGCTGAGGTCGAGATTTTGAGTACATGCTTCTTTTCTTTAAACACAATTGTGTGTATGAGAGAGAACTTGAGGGATGGCAGAGATTGATTGACAGTTGTGGAAGATGTGCACACGTAGCACAGTATGCACATGGTCTGCAGAGGACAGACTGGAAATTGGTTCTCTTCTTCTATATGGGTTCTGGGGATCAAACAGGTTGTCAGATTTGACAGCAGGCACTTTTGCTGGTTGAGCATCTCACCGGCTCTAATACTTGTATCTATGTTAAAAAAAATGTTGGTACCCTTATTCAGGAGGGGAGACTTAGGCTGAGCCTTTCATGTTTGGATGCAGTTTGTTGACTGAGATTCTCAGGATTTGTTTCTTGGGGATGACTTAAAATTTATGTTTTACATTACTAAAAAATTCTAGCAAAGATTTAAATATAAATCTTACAGTATAATAAACTATCGGGATTGAAGTTAATGTAAATAGTTAGATTCAGAAAAAAACTAGGGCAAAATGATAGTGGTGATTTGTCAAACTAATAAAGAAAGTAATTTCTTCTTTTTTGAGGGTAGTGAGAATTTAATCCAAGGTTACATGTATGGTACTCTGTATTTTACCACTGAGGCATACCCCAAGCCACAAGATGTTAAATTGAAACCTGAAGATTTAAGAACAAAACCATTTGATCACTTCAGAGGGTGTGAGGTCAGCTTTAAGGTCAACTTGACCCCGCCTAGACTCAGCTGGGGAGAGGTTGCCTGCATTGGATTGACCTGTGAGATTGTCTGGGGGGGGGGATTTTTTTTCTCCTAAGTTTACTTTTGTGGGACAATCCAACCCACTCTGGGTGTCACTGTTCCCTAATCATGGGACACTGAACTGTGTAAGAGTGGAGAGATCGAGGTGAGCACAAGCAAGCACCTGGGCACCGCTTCTCTGTGGCCCGGGCTAAGTGCGACTTTGGAGTTCCTGCTGCCCTGATGTCCCTGGCTGTGATGGACTACAGACTGGAGTTGTGAGCTAGAATGAACCCTTTCTCTCCTGAGCTGCCTTTTGTCAGGGTATCTTAGCACCACAACAGAGCGAAAGAAACTAGGATACAAACCTGGGACTCATCTGCTTACATTTGTGCCAACTGATGTTTCCACGAGAGGCCTCTTAAATGGTTGTGTTTGAAGCTAGCAGACCAGAGTGTTATTTCCATGCCTTAGGAGTGTTCTGTTGGTGTCCAGTTGCCCACAGCCAGGTTGCAGGAACCATGATGGGGTTACTACTGAGCAAAGAGTGAGGGAGGGGGTTGGTTAACCCGGAGTGTGACAGTGACAGGGCGCCCTCTGGGAGAATCCCACGTGAAGGCAGGAACCAGGGACAGAGTGCTTCTTTGGACATTTCCCTGCCTGCCTCGGGACGTGGTTACGGCTACCACAGTGTTTAGACAGAGCTCACCTCTTGGAGAGATCCTACAGCACTGTCTCCACAAGTGCCATTTGTAAGTGGGACACTCCCACGAATGTAAGTAACACTCACCTTCTTCCAGAAGCTTCTGAGACAGCCAGACGAAAGGGATCCCTCTGCCCTAACTTGTAAACTTGCTGGCATGTTCCTGTCGTGGCAGAGGGTGTGGTTGTGACGCAATAAAGTGGTACCTAAGTGAGGGCACACCCTGGCAACCTGTGCAGGGAGCCTACTTATGGGCTTGTGCATCCATCCAAGACCTCTGTTGCTTTAAAAGGGAAGGTGATGGGAACATCTCAAGGATTGATATTTAGGCATCTTTCCAGGTCTTTAGTAACCGCTGGATTTGAATGTGAGTGTTACTCATGTCTGGCCCTGAGCCTGCAGCTGGACTTTTATTTTAGTCTCCACTTTGATTTGTGGGCAGGAGTGTTCTAAATTTGGGAAGGATTCTGAAGCCGTGTCTGGACCTGGGAGTCTTGAAAGGATTATTGGTTTCTCCTGTGGGATGGGAGGGCTGAGGCACTGTAAAAGGCAGTTTCATCCCTTCGTTTGCCAGGAGTGTTCTTGGCTGGCCTGCTACCTCAAGTGTACGCTTCAGAGGGAAGCAGCCTCCCCAGTCAGTGTCTAGTTAGCTTTGAGCTAGGCACAGAATAGAAACGTGAGTATTTGGTGCGTGAATAATGAGTGAACTAAGACCAGAGTGTATTCAGTGTTCCGGAGGGAAGGCAGAGACATGGCGAGGTACCAGCTCAGACATGGCTCCCATCTCAGCCTCCAAGGAGTTGCCGTTCTGGAAAGGTGTGAAAATGCTTAACTCTCAAAGGCAGGCTGGAAGGGTAAGAGAGTGCTAGTGATTAGCCTGGTCCCAGGAGTGGTGGCAGCTGTTTGGATGCAGAGTGCTGTGCTCTGGGGCGCCGGTATTGGCCTCACAGCAGAGAGTGAGCCAGGAGCTCTTTTCCTTGGGAACCCTCTGTGCTTTTGCTTCTAGGTAATCTTACATCGCCTGTCTTTTTTCTTAGTTTCCGTGTCAGCTAGGATAGAATGTTTTGACCCACCAGCAGTTTGGCTTGCATTTAAATGCCAAGGTGGGATAATCTGTTATTAGAAGTGCCGCGTAGATTTCTTAAGCCGAAAAGCCTGTTCAGTCACAACATTTGTTTTTGGAAGGAGTTATTTATAACGTTTGGAATTAAGCGCAAGTCAGAGAAAGCCTGTAAGCGTGAAAAGTAGCACATTATGAACACTTTATCTAAAGTAACTGGCAGTTTGCTTTCAAAAGAAGCAGGAGAAACATGAACTTTTAAATCAAATTTTAAAAAATGTTTTCCGAGGGGAGAGAGAGAGAGAGAGGGAGAGAGATGAGAGAGAGAGAGAGAGAGAGGGAGAGAGAGGGAGAGAGATGAGAGAGAGAGAGAGAGGGAGAGAGATGAGAGAGAGAGAAAGATGAGAGAGAGATGAGAGAGAGAGAGGGAGAGAGATGAGAGAGAGAGAGAGGGAGAGAGAGAGAGAGGGAGAGAGAGAGAGAGAGTACACAGGCGTAGGATGCCCTGTTCTATCACCCTCGCCGTTTCCCTTTGAGATGACTTTCTCATTGAACCTGAAGCTAGGCTGGTGGCCAGCAGACCCAGCGACCCCCCTGTTTCTCAGTCCTCATAGTGTGGGGATTTCAGGTGTGTGAGTGACCAAAGCCAATTTTAACGTTGACACTGGGGGCTTGAACTCCTGTCCTCATTTGTGTGCAGCGCTGTAGTGTGATCTTTTAGACTGAGACCTTATACCAGGGATGGAGCCATTCTAGATGTTCATCATTGCTGGTTATCATCAGTTACTGAGGGAGTTAACCATCCCCCCCACCCCCCACAGAGTTTCTCTGTGTAGCTTTGTAGACTAGGCCGGCCTCGAACTCACAGAGCTCTACCTGCCTCTGCCTCCCAGCCCGAGTGCTGGGATTAAAGGAGTGCACCACCATCGCCCAGCTTGGAAGTTACTATACCTGCTAAGTGTTTTGTTTTCTTTTTGGTGTTTTTTTCCCCCGAGACAGGGTTTCTCTGCATTGTTTTGGAGCCTGTCCTGGAACTCGCTCTGAAGATCAGGCTGGCCTCAAACTCAGAGATCCGCCTGCCTCTGCCTCCTGAGTGCTGAGACTAAAGGTGTGCACCACCAACACCCGGCTTGCTAAGTGGTTTTTATAATTGATCATTTCGGGTGTGGGGGGCTGATTGTTAGTTTTAATTGTCAACTTGACACAATTTAGGATTTCCCGCGCATCTCAAGGAGAGCCTGTGTGTATTGACTTGGCCTATGAGCATGTCCATGGGGGTTATCTTGATTATGTCAACTGGAGTGGGAAGACCTGCCAACTGTGGGCAGCACAATTCCTTTGGCTAGGGTTTTTATGAGTCTGAGCTGATTGGGTGCATGTGTGCATTCATTGTCTCTCCGTCTTGACTGTGGGTGTGACCAACTGCCTCAGGTACTTAACGTGGGCTTCTCCACAGCGATGGGCGATGGGCTGTAACCTGGAGTCCTGAGCTGAAATAGACCCTTTCTCTCCTTGCTTGCTTTTGTTAGGGCATTTTATCACAGCAGCAGAAAGAAAACTAAGGTCTCAGGAGCAGTCAAGGTAATAGTTTGTTAATCATAAAGGTCATGATTGATATTCCATATATATATATTTTTTTGTTTTCAAACAGGTTGAATGTCATTTTTACAAAATTTGATGAAGTCCAAAAGTCTGGAAATATGATACAGTCTGCAAATGGTGAGTGGGAAAGCCAGTCTCCATTTCTGCATTTTTCAGTTTCACGGCAATTATGCTTTTGCTATTTCTAAATGGATACTACATGTTTCAATAAGGGTTTCTAGGTCTTAAAAGTTAGGTTTCCTCCATCTACTTCCCACTGGTTTTGTTTCAGAGCCTCAGTCGAATCCATTAGATACAGTCCGTTCTCCTGGGCTGTCCTGGCAGCATCCGGATGTTGGTTCCTCTTCCTCCCCCATGTCTATAGTCTATGTTCTGAGCATCCAGTCTAATCCTGTTAGAATGCAAATAAGGTGTTGTGGTCCACCCATTCATACTCATAGCCAGACTGCAACTTAGTGGCCCCAGGCCTGGAAATGTGGCTTAGACCCCTATTCTGAAGTCATCCTTTCTGAAAGTTCTCTCTACTCCTGCCATGCTGGCCGCCATGCTAAGTTAGAACATCCTGAGCACCTCTGTGCTTGCGACTTGCACTTCCTGAAACACTGGTCCCTGGTGTCATTATGGCCTCCTCTCCTGGAGGATGCTATAATAGTAGCTCTATTTTCAGCTGTAAAGAATGAATGTATTAAATATGTAGCAAGCCGAGTGAAAGAATAAATAGGTACTAGATAGCTAAACATCGTCAAATCAGGTCCTTGCAACATCCAGCCAAAGCCTACTAGCCCCTTATGGCAGCCACCTGAAGTTCAAGGAGAGGGAGTCCCAGGCAGAGAGAGCGCCCTCTTGGGTGAGGTTTCCAAGTAAAAGAACACATGGTAACAGATGGAGGTGGCATCATCAAATCAGGTGCTCACAGTATCCAGCCGAAGCTGACTGGGGCGGGGGGGGGGGGGCTGAGGCAGTCCGCTGGAGTGCCCAGTGAAGCTCTGTCTGTGGCCGAGCTTCCCTTAGCCGAACTTGCGGTGTCTGCTTCCCGCTGCAGACATTCTCAGTGACTCTGCTGGAAACAGCTCACCTTCTGTTTTTTAGGGGTTTTACTTTTGGGCTCTTTTGCTGTTCTCCTGCCCTGTCACAGAGCCCATGGGGCCAGCTTAGCCCTGCAAAGCGGGTCCCAGGAGACACTTGGCATACACACGCTTGGGCGTGAAGTTAGGGTGCTTCCAGCGCCAGCTTCTCAGTGAGCTCAAATAGCGCGTGCCAGTTTAACAACGGAATGCACTTAACCCCTTCACCCATCGTGATCTTCATGGCAGAGGCCACACAGAGTGCTGTGGTCAGGGGCTTCCTGAGGCGGTGTGCCTCGCCCTGTTTGATACTTCTTAGCAGTTTCACTAGAAAATACTTGCTTACTTATGAGGGGAGGGTCTTCATTTCATTCCCTTTTTTATTTTATTCCACTGAGCAGGATTCAGTCCTTCACAGCTGTCTCTGGCCTGTGCTAGGTGTGTGATAAATATTGTTCTATAAATATGGCGAGGACTGTGATAAGTGGCATGGCCTGCCCTTTCCTTCCTACTTCCTGACCTGCCTTCTCTATACTCGTTGATGGTAACTGAGGACAAATAGGTAACTTTTGTGATTCCCAAAAGGAGGAAAAGACAGAAGGGAATTGCTGTGGGAATGAAAAGCCAACAAGAGTTTTGTGTGTGTGTGTGTGTGTGTGTGCGCGCGCGCGTGCCCTAGCTGGTTCTCTAGAGACATAAAGCTGATTAGTACGAATAGCAATGGGGGGAAAGAAATACTAAACTTACTTTCCAGACATTTGCAGGTACACTTGGGTGAGGAGGAGAAGCCTGGCTCCCATAACCCTTTGCTGGCTGACACAGTGAATAAACTTTAAGCAGGAAAGAATGTGTGGTTCCAAATTGCTAAAGGAGTATCATCTGCCTTGTTTGTGTGTTACCCCTGCTTCAGTGTGAAGATACCTAACAGCAAATGAAGCCTTCGGCTCTCTCTGGTTTTGCCGTCGTGGACATTCTGTACAAATAGAATCATACACTATGTGGCTTTTCTGTTTGGCTTCTATGAAACAGGACGGTTGTTTCAGAGTTTACCCAATAGGTACTATATCTGTGCTAAATTCCCCTATCTCTGCTTCCCAAGTCCTGGGGTTAAAGGCATGCACTATCATATTTTTTTTTTTTTTTTTTTTTTTTTTTTTTTGTGGTCTTGTCAATAGGCGCTCCCTCCTTCAGCTGACCCTAAAATAGTGCCTTTTCAGTGATCGGTTCAAATCAGGTTCCTGACTTGAAAGTGTTGTCAGCGTTAGGACATGGTCAGTGCTGTTCAGCAGGTGGTAACTAGAGTGTCCCCCCCCCCCCCAAAGGAAATGTAGCTAGTGTTAGGAAACAGCTAGCAGGCAATTGAAATGTGTACATACCCTTCCTGTGTCCTCTCACCAGGCTTTAGCATTGCAGCCTGGGCCAAGCGAGTCAACTCTTGACAGTGCCTGTTTGCTATTTGCTCATCCTCAGAGTGAAGTGCCCTGTGAAGATTTGCAGAGTAGTGAGATAATGTGTAGGGACCTTAGCGCAGCGCTCGGATGGAGCTGGTGCCCAACATGACCCTGCCTCCTAGTTGCCCTCTACCTGGGATCTGCTGCCAGCTGTCATTCCACTCATCAAACAGCCAGTGCTCTCCTTATCTCGAACAAGTGAGTCACTGTGCTGGAATCCAGCGGTATGATGCACTCTGTCCCGCGTGACAGTTACTGCGCAGTCTCTTCCTCTGGCCTCTCGAGATGTCAGGTGACCCCCGTCAGTCACTTAGAAGTGTTCGCACCTGGCAGAGTCGGCTCTCCGCCAATGGTAACGTGGCCATCAAAACTGGTGCTGGGTTATTAGACAAGTTTGTGCACCTTCTACTCCAAGCAGCCCGCCACCTTTCATTTCAGAGTCACATGTAATTTGCTCACACACACTATGGCACTCAGCTGCAGGTCAGAAGTCAGTGTGTCCTTCCACCGTGGGAGTCCCAGGGATCGAATGAGATGGCTGGGCCATCTCACTGAGCCTTTGCTCACTTTTAAGCTGTGCTGTTTTAAGTCTTCACGATTGAGCTGTAGGAATTCTTTTTAGACTTCTGCATCATAGGACGCATAGCTCGTAAATAATTTGCAGGGTGTCCCTCTCCCTATGTCTTGGTGTTTAAGATTTAAGGTCTGATGAAGTGATTCATCTGTTTCTTTAGCTTTTGTCGCCCGTGAACAATGATGCCATTTTCAGCCAGAAACAGCAGCTCTAAATTAGTGCTAGCTCATACAAACTTGTTTTTGAAAAGATTACTGATTAATTTTGGACAATTTCATACATGTATGCGAATATGATCATATTCACCCTGCTGGCCTCTCTCGATCCTCTTCCCTGCTGGCCCTCTCTTCCCATCCAGCCCCCTCCTACTTTAATGTTATTTTATTTTATTTGGTGCAGGTTTTGAAAATAATTACCATGGACACATATTTTTACAAAACCTGCTAATGCTGAGGGCAATTCTCTAAGGAAGAGCTAATGCTCATTTTGGGTTGTTTCTTGACATGCTTAAAATTGTATCCTGTGAAGCCAGTGGGCTCCATTCTTTGTGAGCGTGACACGATTGTGACCGAGATCGGCGTAGAGACATAGCCAAGTAGCAGTGTAAAATGGCTTGCTGTCTGAAGCGGAATGTTTTCATCTGTATATGAACCCTCCCTGTTGCTAGGCTACCCAAGGGCTTTCAGCTTTGGCAAAAATATGGGCGTTAAAAATATGTTGTTTGTATAGATTTTTCTATCTCCATATAATTAGCAAACCCCTTGAAGAACAAATTACAGTTTTCTCTTCTGTGGTTTTCAAAAAGCAAATTATTAGTATTTTTTTTATCAAGCAGATGTGCTACGCTTACAGGAGAATAGGCCTCTCAGCATGAAAGAGCATTAATTATGGACTAGTCAGTGTCCTTTATCTGCAGCCACTTAATGATCTCGGATTGTGTTTGATTGACATGAGGCTGTGGACATAGTTTGCTTAGAAAAGTCACATGGTGGTATTTCCTAGGAAAAGCTAACATGGTGATGAGGGGATCTAGAAAGTATCATGTCAATTACATGCCTAGGAATGTCATAATCTGTAGCTAAAGGAAAGGACAAAATATCGTTTACAGATAAAGCCACACACTAAATTTACAGATAACGATTTAAAAAAAAAAAAAACCCTATTATTTGTTACATACATGAAAGCCCCTAGGGTATCATTTTGCTGTCAAATGCTGCCTTCCTTACATTTTAACAGTTGAAAACAACTTGCCAAATGTTACCCAGTTCAACTTTGTTGGAGGCGAGAGCTTTCTGTGAGCTGTAAACAAACTGATGAGCACGTTAGGTAAGGTTCACTTACAGGGGAACCCTTATTAAGCAGCCAGCCCTCCATTATCCACTCACAGGCTTTTAAAGACAGTGGTCCAGCCTAAGTGGTGCAGGTGGGTGATCCCGCCCTCCCCATTCTGCCGCTGCTTGTTTATGAGGCTATGCATCTCCCAGGCGTGGAGAGTTCAGTCTTAGGAAAGTGTTTCCATCCTCACAGCTACCGTGGGAAACGTGCTGCCAGGCTGGCCCAAGTGTCGGGCTCTGCTGAGAAGCCCACTCCAAACAGCCTAGAAGAGGCCCCTCTCAGCGAGCGGCAGGGACTGCCCGTGCCATCCCCAAGTGGGACTGAAATCGCTACTTCTTGTTTTAAAGCTGATGGCAGTTAGGGACAGGGTGTCTCTTAAGGGAGTAGAGTGTTGGTTTGCAAAGCCTGAATAAGCTGTAAAAAAAAAAGACTCTTATTATCTGAGGAAAGACAGATAGAGGCACTCCCCTCCCCTGGCTGAAAAATGCAGGGCGAGAGGCTAGGCTTTTATTTTGGAATGAGGTGGCGCTTGTCACAGTACTGGCTCTCCTGAAGGAGGTGTGGGAGGGGAGTCTGCTGATGCCTAGGCTGCTGTGAGAAGGACTCACCAGACCACTGACAACATGACCGCCGGGAAAGGTAGGCGCTTTATATTCTCTGGAAAGTGTCGTCATTGCCGACGGGCTGGGGAGC